GTAGAAAACCAATTATTTTTCCAAGAAAGCCTCCAGACAGGCTCATGGTTCCATTTCTCTGGCTTTTTGATTACTATAGATAATTAAGTATATGTGAAGTTGTTTGTTATTATAGTTGTTGGTAGTGAGTTAGTTGTTGTTATTGTTGTGATCATAGTTGTGATACAAAACTGGTTTGAGCTTGTTCAGATTTTGTTTTAATTTTTAAGGGAAATCTGATTGGATGATTAGAAAGCACTAATCATTTGGAGGGGTAAACTGATTTTGATTTTTTGGATGAATGATTTTTGGAGGTTGGAAGTGGGCAGCACATATTGCTACAAAAATATTGTGTATGAGGGTTAACTTGAAACAAATAGTAAATCTACTAACTCTGTTTGAGTGTATATTTTGAAAAGTATTTGACTTAGCAAGTATAATAGTAATGATGTATATGGTTTTTATGATAAAATAAGAGTAAAAAGGAATGCAAGAGAACTGAAGAAAAGAAAACTGCCATAGGCCTTTTCTTATGTAATCAAAGGATAAGCAAGACTCCCAAACTTAAATAGACTTTGACCAGAGATTCCATCCCACTGCACCAGTTGTCATGAAGATTCTTGAGTTCTCGAGTTAAAGTTCACTTATAATAAAGAGAGTAAAACATTTTTTCTTGCTTAAAATTATTATAAAAATTTTTTTTAACAAAATGGATGTGATCAGGAGAGAGTTTTTTTTTTTTTTTGTATGTTTTAATATTTTTTTTAAAGTATTTAAATAATAATTAGTATAAAAGAAAAAAAATATAATTTGACATCAATTATATAATTGATTATTGTAACAATAATGAGATGCAATTATTAAATAATAAAAAGGGGACAAAAAAATTGTTAAAAAAAATTATATATCTGGCTTTAGCCTTATTATTGTATTATTATTTATTATTTGAGATTCAAGTTGCTATAGTTAAATATAAAAAATAAAAATATAACATTATGTACAAATTTGAAAAAAACAAGAAGAAAAGCTAAAAAAAAATCAATAAAACTTTAATCAAATAAAACATGTCTTAAATTATTTTTGTTTCACTTATCTGATGAAATTTATATGAATCTCTACTAAAAAATACTAAAAATGTTAATTTAATTAATTTTAGTTAATACTCATAAACTTGCAAGAAAATAAGACAATAGATATTTTTAGTGTTACTGTATATTTATTTAAAGAATCTTGTCATTTTATTATATACTAAAACAATAATATTATCAAGAATAAGTTTTTTTAAAATATTTAATAAGTTAATTATAATGTAAACATCAAGTTTTTATTTTTAATACAATAAAATAGGACAGATTGTTGATGTTATTTAACATTTTCAATTAAAAAAAATCGTCAATTTATATATATTTAGTATTTATTAATAGCTATAAATTATAAATAGCATCTCCTATACCATTATACTGTTAAGAAAAACATAAGATATGTTTTGAGAATCTATTAGATAAGAAATTTCTATCATACAAATTTAAGTTTTTAAATGAGATATAATTAAATAGATATGATGAAAAATTAAAATTAACATTCTAATTTCAGTATATTCAATATTTTAAAGTTGTTTTAAAACACTTTTACTTTAATGATAAGTCAATCTAAATTTATAAAAATTATATAACCAAAAAAAGCAAAATATATCAAATAGCTAGATATAGATTTCATTGAAATCAATTATAATGTGGATTTGTTTCTTATATTAAGCATATATTAGAATAAAAAGATATCAACACATAATAGGAAATAGAGCTTTTTTATTTAAAAACAAATAAATATACAGTATATATATATTTTTAATATTTTTAATATTTCTTGATTAATATGAAAATAGAAAAGCTTGAACCAGTTGAGAGATCGTATATGTTATCCATAAATATATAAATATAAAATAATTCAAAAAACTTGATTTCTTAATGATCTTCTACATGCTTAATTGCTGGTTGAATCAATTTAGAAAAACTACAGAAATTGTTGACATTTACTTAAAAATAAACTCTATCAGATGTTTAATAGAAAAGAGTAAGAAAGCAGAAATATTAGATGTAATAATGTATACTTATTGGACATTATCTCAAAAAACTCAAATACGGGTATTTTAAATCAGATTTTCAAACAATTATAAACAGTCCAAAAAGATATTACACATACTAAATCAAAGAAAATTTTTTAAAAATATTATCTTATTTCATCGAAGGATATTATTTTAATTTTTATTATTATATATATTATTGGGATCAGGAAAATTCGCAGTTAATAGACGTGAATGTTAAACATCTAAATATTCGGTTTGATGTCATCACAGTCAAAGTGCCAAAGCACATATCCAACCGACACGTGGCATACGATACGAGAAAAAAACGTGAAAAATGGAAACGCGAAAGCGGGAACGGGTATCAATTTATGGATAAATAGCTCTTCTTTAGTAATAGTGCAACTGATCGTGATCGATTTTACATCAGATTGATTTGTATTTAAAATCCAAACTTGATGTCCTGTAGCCAACTTGGCCGCCGATCTACTAATATCCTTTTCGCGACTCCTGTGATTCTTACTGTTTGAGTTGTGGTATGCAATATATGTCTGATTGAACCCATTTCTCAGACTGCGCAAATAGGCTCTTATTCTGATATGATACCTCAGTTCTTTTTTTGAATATTTCGGCTATCTCGGAATCCGGGGTATTATCTTGATCCTGGAAGGCCTCGGAATAGTTCAAGGCAAATTTATAGCCAATACAGTACTGTATAACGTAATTGCAAATCGTGTGACCAATTCCCTAAAAAATTTTCACCTTAGGAAAATGTCCAAAGCAAAAATAGATCTTGCTAACTTGGATTTCAGCCGTACCTACTCATTTGAAGAGTTCGAGTCAATTAACGAACAGCTCAAAACACATTCCTTAGAATTCAACGGACAACCAGTCAATTTATTTGATCTCGACGAAAATGGAAAGCTTGTTCCAATGCCACAGGCCACTCACTGTATGGGGATTACTGTTGCAGAGATTATCAGACAGCTTGGTAATTGGAACATTCAAACTCGACAGAACGGGGACATAAAAGCATCACAAGGAGGGTTTAATTTTAATGTTGGAGGCCACAGAGCTCCTGATGTCTCCTTCACGCCCAAATCTGTATCTCGCCAATTGACTGAATTACAACGTTGGACTTTCCAGGGTCAATCATTCACTCCCACATTCGTTGTCGAGGTTGGAGACACCGAAAGTAGATCGACGTTCGAAGAGTTAGATGGCAAATTTAAACGCGGATACTTTGCACTTGGAACATCTGTACAACTCGGTTGGTTGATTGATCCCAGAAATAGTAAAATCTGGGTATACAAGCGGAGTCAACATGGTAATGTCTTTCGTCGTGAGCACGCATGGGGAGATGTAGAGGGTGGTGATATTTTGCCGGGGTTTACATTAAACGTGTTGATGATTGGTGAAGTAATTTCACAGGTGTGTCATCGTTATTACTTCCATGTACAATAGCAATATTTCACCACTCATGTTTTTTGATCACAGAAATCTTCAGAATCATCATCAGAGAATGAAGAATTGCAAATTAATTGCCCTGAATGTGACGCAACTTTTTCTGATCGTTACACTTTTACGAAACATTACGTAAATAAGCATGTTTGTAAACGGCGTAGAACAAAGTAGAGGCTTGGTGTTTTTTTATTGAATTATTTCATGTATTTTAAACAAGTGCACTTGGATTGATTCTATTTTCCGATGCACAAGACCACATGCAGAAATAACGCAGTTGCTCACGTTACTACATATATAAAAAGTATTGTACCAAGCTTTGAGACCATGTTTAATCAGTCACGTGACACGGAATTTACCCTGAATTTCATATTGTAACGGTGGGAAACGGCGAGTCTGTCGCTTGTACGCAGGTCTTGTCGCGGCACGTCACACCACAGCTAAGTAGG